GGTGACTCTCAGAACATTGGGGAAGAGCCTGCATGAGATCAAGGATGAAGCCATCAATGTCAAAGCTTTTGATGGTTCCCAAAGGTTCACTATTGGGGAAATCAATTTGTGTCTACAAATGGGACCGACTTGGTTCGACGTTGACTTTCAAGTAATAGACGTCCCAGCATCTTACAACTTGCTTCTGGGACGACCTTGGATTCATGCCGCTGGGGGTGTAGCATCAACCCTACACCAGGCAGTGAAGTTTGAGTGGAATCACCAATAGGTGATTATTCACGGCGACGGTAGCAATCCCATAGACAGTCGCCAGACCATCCCGGCAATCGGAGGAAGAAGGAAGATAGGCGGAGAAACTTACCATCACATTGAGCGAGTCAACGCCGTGGACAAGGATAAATGGTGGGATAACAAGATTGAAAGTATACTGAACTGGAGCGGATATGAACCTGGCAAGGGACTCGGCAAGAACCTCCAGGGAATCACCAAACCTATCAAGCTGAAGAAACATGGTACCACGATATGAATACACTTGGGAGGAGTTCTGGCGCGCCATGGCGCAATCCCTACTATCTGCTGGAATAAGAGGTTGTTAAAGAAGTTAGGGATTTTGAGAATAGACGTAAGTCCAACTTGGACGAGACTGAGGTTGTTAACTTGGGAGATACAGAAAATGTCAAAGAAACGCGCACCAGTGTTCATCTGTCACCATCAGAAAAGGAAGAGTACACGAAATTCCTAAGGGAATATGAGGACATATTCGCCTGGTCGTATGATGATATGACTGGTCTCAGTACATCTATTGTAGCTCACAAATTGCCAACCGATCCAACATGTCCCCCGGTAAAGCAGAAGCTCAGGAAGTTCAAACCTGACATGAGTTTGAAATCAAGGAAGAAGTCACCAAGCAAGTCAAAGCCAAAGTTCTCAGGGTAGTAGAGTATCCAACGTGGTTAGCCAATATTGTGCCAGTACCTAAGAAGGACGGGAAGGTTAGAGTCTGTGTCGACTACCGGGACCTCAACCGGGCCAGTCCGAAGGACGACTTCCCCTTGCCAAGCATACACATTCTAATTGACAATTGTGCCAAGCATGAACTGCAGTCATTCGTCGATTGTTTTGCTGGGTATCATCAGATATGGATGGATGAGGAAGACGCGGAGAAAATCGCTTTCATTACACCGTGGGGAATGTATTGTTGCAAGATGATGCCATTCGGGTTAAAGAATGCTGGGGCCACCTACATGAGGGCCATGACTACTATTTTCCATGACATGATACACAAAGAGATCGAGGTATATGTAGACGACGTCATCATCAAATCCAAAAGAGCCACTGACCACATGGAAGATCTGAGGAAGTTCTTCAACAGACTGAGAAGGTACAATCTGAAGCTGAACCCCGCCAAGTGTGCATTCGGGGATCTCGCCGGAAAACTACTTGGGTTCATTGTGAGTCGCTGAGGAATAGAACTGGATCCATCAAAGATTAAAACCATCCAAGAATTGCCACCACCAAAGAACAAGAAAGAAGTTATGAGTTTCTTGGGAAGACTTAACTACATCAGCCGGTTCATAGCTCAGTCCACTGTCATTTGTGAGCCAATCTTTAAGATGTTGAAGAAGGACTCCGCTACCAAATGGACTGATGATTGTCAGAAAGCCTTCGACAGAATCTAGGAGTACCTGTCAACACCACCAGTTTTGGTTCCACCTGAACCAGGTAGACCCCTACTACTCTACCTTGCAGTGTTGGATGGAGCGGTCGGTTGCGTTCTTGGGCAACATGACGAAACGGGGAGGAAGGACCAGGCCATCTATTATCTCAGCAAGAAGTTCACCCCGTACGAGGCCCGGTATTTTCTGTTGGAACGCACTTGTTGTGCTCTGACTTGGGTAGCTCAGAAGCTGAGGCACTATTTCTGTGCCTATACTACGTATCTCATATCAAGAATGGATCTGCTGAAGTACATCTTTCAGAAGCCCATGCCCACTGTCAAGCTGGCCAAATGGCAAATCCTGCTGAGTGAATTCGACATCATCTATGTGACTCAGAAAGCAATCAAAGGACAGGCATTAGCAGATCACCTCGCTGAAAACCCTGTGGATGGAGAATACGAGCCTCTGAAGACGTATTTTCCTGATGAGGAGGTATCCTTCATAGGAGAAGATATCGCAGAATCCTATGACGGTTGGAGAATGTTTTTGATGGAGCAGTAAACGGCATAGGAGCAGTCCTAGTATCAGAACCGGTGTTTGCGAAGCTCAGATTCCCATGCACCAACAACATGGCCGAATACGAAGCCTGCATCTTAGGGCTCAAGTTGGCTATTGACATAAACGTTCGGGAGTTGCTAGTGATTGGGGATTCAGACCTGCTTATACATCAGGTCCGAGAAGAATGGGCAACCAAGAATTCCAAGATACTTCCTTATCTGCATCACGTACAGGAGTTGAGGAAGAGATTCACAAAGACAGAGTTCCAGCATGTCCCTAGAGTCCAGAATGAGTTCGCCGACGTATTGGCTACCCTATCGTCCATGATACAGCACCCGGACACAAATTTCATTGACCCTATTCCTGTGAAAATCCATATTCAGCCAGCTTATTGTGCTCATATCGAAGAAGAAGCCGACGGAAAACCTTGGTTTCATGATATCAAGGAATATTTAGCCACAGGGGAATATCCATAACTTGCAAACGCTACTCAGAAGCGCACACTTCGAAGGTTATCCAACAATTTCTTTCACAGTGGAGGAATCCTGTACACGAGGACGCCCGATTTGGGATTATTAAGGTGTGTCGACGCAAAGGAAGCATCCAGGCTATTGGAAGAAATTCATGCAGGGACCTGCAGCCCACATATGAACGGTTTTGTCTTAGCCAAGAAAATACTCCGAGCTGGTTATTTTTGGATGACTATGTAGACGGACTGCATCCAGTACGTCCGAAAGTGCCATCGCTGTCAGATACATGCAGATATGATAATGGTGCCTCCTAATAAGCTTAATGCAACAAGTTCGCCATGGCCGTTCGCCGCTTGGGAATGGATGTTATCGGACGTGCCGAGCCTGCCGCGTCAAACGGACACAGTTTCATTCTAGTGGCAATTGATTATTTCACCAAATGGGTTGAAGCAGCATCATACAAGGCAGTGACCAAGAAAGTCGTGGCAGACTTTGTCTGCGACCATATCATTTGTCGGTTCGGTATCCCAGAGTCAATCATTACTGATAATGGTTCCAATCTCAACAGTGACCTGATGAAAGCAATGTGTGAAATATTCAAAATCAAACACAAGAATTCTACAGCCTACAGACCTCAGATGAATGGAGTTGTAGAAGCGGCCAACAAGAATATCAAGAAGATACTAAGGAAGATGATAGAAAAACATAAGCAGTGGCACGAGAAGCTATCATTCGCTTTATTGGGGTACCGCACCACAGTTCGCACATCAACCAGGGCAACTCCCTATATGTTGGTTTATGGTACAGAGGCAGTCATTCCCGCCGAAGTAGAGATTCCCTCCCTGAGGATCATACAGGAAGCAGAACTCGACGATGCAGAATGGGTAAAAAGTCGATACGAGCAGTTAGCTCTTATAGATGGAAAAAGAATGAATGCAGTTTGCCATGGTCAACTTTATCAGAACAGAATGTCCAGAGCCTTCAACAAAAGAGTCAAACCAAGACAGTTTACACCGGGGCAGCTGGTGTTAAAGAAAATCTTCCCGCATCAAGATGAAGCCAAAGGGAAATTCTCTCCCAACTGGCAAGGTCCGTACATGGTTCATCGAGTTCTAACAGGAGGAGCCATCATACTCGCAGAAATGGATGGAGAAGTTTGGCCAAAACCAATCAACTCAGATGCAGTCAAGCGATACTATGTGTAACCATTTATGATATCATTATGTAATTTGAACTACGTCTGACCTGATTCCCGTTTAAGAGGGGATACGTAGGCAGCCTTATGGGTTCGGTCACAATTCAATAAAAAAAATTCATTTCCCCCGCTATTGGAAACTGGGGCAGAATTTTGAGGAGGACCCTCAAACTTCCGAAGTTGATCTTCAGCCATTCACCAACACACAGCCGTCAGAAGCACCAGCCCAGTAAACTGGGGCAGAATTTTGAGGAGGACCCTCAAAGTTCCGGAGCGAGAGAGGTTGCAATGTCTTGAACCGCGTCGCAGTCATCGATTCACCTAAAAGAAAACTATTTTTTTATGTATTTACGTTACACTTTTAGTAAATTGTGCATGACTACTATCAAAATTGCTTTGTTTAGCAACGCTACCCCAATAAAAACAAGAGCCGAGCAAAACAAGCGAGGTCCACAGGAAGACGGACTAACCTTCCTCCTTTACAAAACTCACGATTGTTCTTTGGATGCAGGCACCCAAGACATAAAATCATCATATACGATTACATACTCATACTTTTTCAGGAATACAACTCTCAGAATCATCGCCTATTTACAATTGCTATCCGTACGAGACATCCCCAGCAACCACAATACAGCAATCCGCTATCAGCTATCATCTATTAGCTAAGAGATTTCATTATTATTCGCCTTTATTTTCTTCATTGCATAAGGCTACTATTCTGCCTTCCGAGACTAAGCTCTATCTCCATAATTGCATAAGGCTACTATTCTGCCTTCCGAGGTTAAGCTCTACCTCCATCTGCATTTCTTGCATTGCATAAGGCTACTATTCTGCCTTCCGAGTAAGCCCAAGGAACCTAAACCCTTTCATCAGCTTTTCCCAACGTTCTTCTTCCTCTTTTTACCAAAGGCCAAAATCTTCCCTAACCCAACATAGCAAATGCTTTAAAAATTCCATGGCTCCAACGTTCAAATTGGAACGGCCAATTTGATTCAAATTTTTTTTTTTGGTTCAAAATCCCGCCCAAAATTAACCCTAATTTTTTTCTTATAAATAATGGCATTGGGAAAACGATTTGGAAGGGTTTTATGGTCGCTGCCTTCAAAGAAGCTTCAGCCCCCTCCTTTAACCTTAAGCTCGGAGCCGCCCCTTTCACCCCAAAATTTGAGAGTTTCAGCTGCCCCATTTACTAGAGAAACACTTCTGTCCATCGCTGCATATGATTCTCAAACTTACTGCTTTTCGCTCCCACCTTTACTCCTTTAAAACACTCTCTAAAATCCTAACTTTTCGTTTGATATTTCTCGCCTCTATTGGTTGATTTTTTAGTCAAAGCAGAGGTGTTTTGGTATTTTTCCGGAATCGTTCGAAGTAGTTAGTTCGAGGTCGGAGTCCGATAAATCCAAGACCCTCGCCCAGTTCACTGCCCTGCAAAAGGTCCGTATCTTTCTTTTTTATGGAATTTATAGAATGTTCATGTTTCAGTATCTATTTGGCAATGAGCTCTAAATGTTCTGATACTTTATCTTTTATCTGGGGTGCTTTTGTTGATTTTTTGACATTGTTCTATTTCAAGTCGTCATTTTGTGTTCTATGATTCATTGGAAATCATGGGTTAGAAAACTTTATTTGCTGTATAAGTATTAGAAACATGTGCTAGAACTCTCTCTTTATTAGAAAGTATATATATTAGCTTGTTCAAATCGTCGCTAGGTTTGAACCCTTTTCGGAATCTCTGTGCGCATAACATGTTAAGACTTGTATTGATACTTAAATAGACAATATATATTTATGTGCTAAAGTTACTCCATAATTTCAATAGTATTCTGTTCAAATATAGGACATAGCTCTTAGCCTACTGTCAACCTGACTTAATGACATGAAATAAGATTAGTATTTTGGTACATAGTATTTAATTTTCTTTTCATAATATGAAAGAAAGTACTTATAAGAATGTGTATCAGCTAGTAGAATCCAAGTGCTATGTTTGAGGTTCGTATGATATGTAAAGAAAATATCTTCTTGTACAAGTATGTGATTTTCTGATTCTGTTATTTCATCTCTCCCAATTATTAGAAACCAGAACTTTATCTTTATGGATCATTAAAATTAAAAGGAAACCTAGAAAAGGGCGTAAATAAAGTTTATGTCACCTGTGATTCATCAATTTGCCGGGTACATGAAATTATGCATTTTTTTTTACAAAGACATGTTAGGTAGTATTTTTAGGATTCTTCCTTTGAGGTATTTTAAAGTCACAGTTTCTTTGTAGCTAAAGTTTGGCAGAATGTTGTGTATGAATTTAAAAGGTATTTGATGTTGTTTAGGAAGTATCAATTTAGATTTAGTTCTTTTTTTTCTTTTGCTTCTCATCTAAATATACGATATTAGAACATATCTATATTCTGAAACACTATTTAGAAAATAGAGTCATTTGTCCTGTTGTGAGCTCTTATGATTCGATGCAAGTTGATATTTTGATTCATGTCTGTTCTTCCTCATTTTTTATACTTATCCTATATTTCCTCTTTCTAATTCATGCTTTTTCTCCTTTTTGTATATGCACTTGGAGCAAAATATAGAGTCTTAATACAAGACTCGCCAATATACCTCGAGCATGGCGTCATATCTCATATTCCTAAAATGCATTGGATAGCAAGAAAACAAGCAGAACGCTTGGGGGCGCCTATGGCGTCTTTCTTACTTTTTTCCCCTTTTGCCATTCATTCTTGTCTAGTTTTTGCGATCCTTGATTTATTTGTGTGTTTTGGTTTTATCGCAAGGATGGAATTTTATAACATTTGGAAGTCGCCGTTTAAGTTAAAATTAATCTGTAGAATTTGTCAAGTATGAATATCAAGTTAGTATATTATAGCTTTTAGAATTACCTATCTTTTATCAGTTTGGGAACTAAGACTTTTCAGCCGAAACACATTTTGAAGAAGTATTTGTTAAAAGTGTTTTCCTCAAAACAATCATGCTGGTTGCCTGCCGCAAAAAAAAAAAAATGCGAGTTTTCATCAAGTTTCTGTATCTATTAATTGGCTAAATCGTAGCTGATTTACTCACGTCATTCGAACTTTTATCCCTTAAATTATTTGATCCTTTTACCCATGATTTCAAAATGGGCATAAGATTTCTTTCGAAATTACTACATATAAACCCCAAGTGGAATCAATATCAATTTTCTCCTTTTAAGTCTTGTCTAGAATTTAAAGAGATCATAATATTTTACAAATTTGAAATCCGAAATACTAGTATTTTTTAAAAGAAGTTATTTTTTCCAAGCTAATCCAATCATAAATATTTTTGGACTTGTGCTCAATTTTTGTGAGTTGAATTAGATTTTTAGAACTTCATATTTATATTTTTATAACAAAGTTCTTTTTATTAATTAACCTAAGTTTGGCCGGTTAACCATTTTTAGTGGATCTTAAAAGGTGCCTTACCCCTTCCTTTTGAGATAACTAGAACCCTTACCATAATCTTAAGATTAAGTAGACCATAAAACAGAGTTAACTTTAAGCACTACTTAGTTAAAATTGGTGTCCTAGTTCACCGTTAAAATAATTAGGTGGCGACTCTCTTTAATTAATTAAACCTCCAGAATTACCAATATGTTATACTCTAGTTTGACCCGTGTTAAAATGGGGTATAACAATCGCCACTTCATTTAAATCTCGCATCGGCTGAAATATCGCCATTTTTAAGTCTTGCATCGGCTGAAAGATCACCAAACCCCGCATTTCATGGGCTGAAAGATCGCCAAAATTGTCCAAAGGCGTCATCGTTCAGAGGCGCTATTTTCATAGCCCGAGAACATCATGCCATGGCCCGAGGACCCCACTTTTACCTCCGCATAGAATTATTCAAAGGCGTCATGGTTCGGAGGCATCATTCTCATAGCCCGAGAGCATCATTTCATAGCCTGCGAATCCTTTATTAAATGTTTCATGGCCCAGGACACCATGGTCCGAGGACGTCACCCTAACCATCCAAAGACAGCATTCATGGTCCAACGGGAACTTGCATCATGTTTATTTATGCACAACATATGAGCTCGTGTTGTTATTTACAGGTAAACCGGCCAGCAACGGCCGTGTCAGCAGGAGCGATCCCGCTCCAGTTTCCGCAGCTCTGTTAAACCCGTAGCAATACTACCCAATCCAAATATCTCGTCCGTTCTTGGAAAAATCTCCATCGGCATGTTCCGTCGGCGAGTCCTGAACTACATACGGCCTGATTCCTGTAAGACAAAGGATATGTAGGCGGCTCAGGAACCAGAGCTCGGTCAAAATTCTTCAATCGTTTCATTCGGTCAAAACTGGCCATCATATCTTTACCCAACAACTCTTTCATCCTTCCCGGTTAAAGAGGGGCAGTTGTTGATACCCAATTTTTTCCTATATAACTTTCATATACAAAATGCTCTCAAAATAGCATATATATGCATATATAAGCATAGCTAAGCGTTTTGGCATTTTTCCTAATTTTTAATGATTTTAAAATCAATTTATTGTCCATTCCTTGCCTGGAGCAGACTTTCCAGCCAGCCGAAGTCATATATGGGTCGGAAGAAGAGGAAGCACCGGCAGCAATGAGGAATTTGTTTTTGGAAGATAATAACATGGACTGTTGCGTCATTTTCGAGGAGGAAGGGGAGGAAGGCCCTTCCATACAAGCCGTGAGCCGAGGAGCACGCCTCAACAATTGGTCCATCAGAACCACTAGGGCCCGAAAAGCTTCGGGGTAGCAAGGCTGAACAAAGCACCATGCATCATCTTTGTTTTTGCTAGTTGACTTTCTTCCCGCATTTTAATTTCAAAATAAGAGCTCCAATTTTCAAAACAATTATGAAATTTATCAAAGCATTTCTGTTTCTTATAAATCTCGCTGTTATTACTTTTCATCGTTTACTTTATTTACACAGCATTACTATTACTTTTCTTGATGAACCGACGATTGTGACTTGCAACGAGACAACGCAACAAACAGATATAGACTCAGAAGAAAATGATATACCAGAAGAGGTTGTTAAAGAAGTTAGGGATTTTGAGAATAGACGTAAGTCCAACTTGGACGAGACTGAGGTTGTTAACTTGGGAGATACAGAAAATGTCAAAGAAACGCGCACCAGTGTTCATCTGTCACCATCAGAAAAGGAAGAGTACACGAAATTCCTAAGGGAATATGAGGACATATTCGCCTGGTCGTATGATGATATGACTGGTCTCAGTACATCTATTGTAGCTCACAAATTGCCAACCGATCCAACATGTCCCCCTGTAAAGCAGAAGCTCGGGAAGTTCAAACCTGACATGAGTTTGACAATCAAGGAAGAAGTCACCAAGCAAGTCAAAGCCAAAGTTCTCAGGGTAGTAGAGTATCCAACGTGGTTAGCCAATATTTTGCGAGTACCTAAGAAGGACGGGAAGGTTAGAGTCTGTGTCGACTACTGGGACCTCAACCGAGCCAATCCGAAGGACGACTTCCCCTTGCCAAACATACACATTTTAATTGACAACTGGGCCAACCATGAATTGCAGTCATTCGTCGATTGTTTTGCTGGGTATCATCAGATATGGATGGATGAGGAAGACGCGTAGAAAACCACTTTCATTACACCGTGGGGAATGTATTGTTACAAGATGATGCCATTTGGGTTAAAGAATGTTGGGGCCACCTACATTAGGGCCATGACTACTATTTTCCATGACATAATACACAAAGAGATCGAGGTATATGTAGACGACGTCATCATCAAATCCAAAAGAGCCACTGACCACATGGAAGATCTGAGGAAGTTCTTCAACAGACTGAGAAGGTACAATCTGAAGCTGAACCCCGCCAAGTGTGCATTCGGGGTTCCCGCCGGAAAACTACTTGGGTTCATTGTAAGTCGCCGAGGAATAGAACTGGATCCATCAAAGGTTAAAGCCATCCAAGAATTTCCACCACCAAAGAACAAGAAAGAAGTTATGAGTTTCTTGGGAAGACTTAACTACATCAGCCGGTTCATAGCTCAGTCCACTATCATTTGTGAGTCAATCTTTAAGATGTTGAAGAAGGACGCCGCTACCAAATGGACTGATGATTGTCAGAAAACCTTCGACAGAATCAAGGAGTACCTGTCAACACCACTAGTTTTGGTTCAACCTGAACCAGGTAGACCCCTACTACTCTACCTTGCAGTATTGAATGGAGCATTCGGTTGCGTTCTTGGGAAACATGATGAAACGGGGAGGAAGGAACAGGCCATCTATTATCTCAGCAAGAAGTTCACCCCGTACGAGGCCCGGTATTCTTTGTTGGAACGCACTTGTTGTGCTCTGACTTGGGTAGCTCAGAAGCTGAGGCACTATTTTTGTGCCTATACTACGTATCTCATATCAAGAATGGATCCGCTGAAGTACATCTTTCTGAAGCCCATGCCCACTAGCAAGCTGGCCAAATGGCAAATCCTGCTTGGTGAATTCGACATCATCTACGTGACTCAGAAAGCAATCAAAGGACGGGCATTAGCAGATCACCTCGCTGAAAACCCTGTGGATGGAGAATACGAGCCTCCGAAGACGTATTTTCCTGATGAGGAGGTATGCTTCATAGGAGAAGATGTCACAGAATCCTATGACGGTTGGAGAATGTTTTTCGATGGAGCAGTAAACTTCAAAGGAGTTGGCATAGGAGCAGTCCTAGTATCAGAAATCGGTCAGCATTATCCGGTGTCTGCGAAGCTCAGATTCCCATGCACCAACAACATGGCCGAATACGAAGCCTGCATCTTAGGGCTCAAGTTGGTTATTGACATGAACATTCAAGAGTTGCTAGTGACTGGGGATTCAGACCTGCTTATACATCAAGTCCGAGAAGAATGGGCAACCAAGAATTCCAAGATACTCCCTTATCTACATCACGTACAGGAGTTGAGGAAGAGATTCACAAACAGAGAGTTTCAGCATGTCCCTAGAGTCCAGAATGAGTTCGCCGACGCATTGGCTACCCTATCGTCCATGATACAGCACCCGGACACAAATTGCATTGACCCTGTTCCTATGAAAATCCATATTCAGCCAGCTTATTGTGCTCATGTCGAAGAAGAAGCTGACGGAAAACCTTGGTTTCATGATATCAAGGAATATCTAGCCACAGGGAATATCCAGAACTTGCAAATGCTACTCAGAAGCGCACACTTCGAAGGTTATCCAACAATTTTTTTAACAGTGGAGGAATCATGTACAGGAGGACTCCCAATTTGGGATTATTAAGGTGTGTCGACGCAAAGGAAGCATCCAGGCTATTGGAAGAAATTCATGCAGGGACCTGCGGCCCACATATGAACGGTTTTGTCTTAGCCAAGAAAATACTCCNTTTCTTTTACATGTTCTTGTATGTTCTTTTACTAACTTTTATACTTCTGTTCTTGAATGTTCTTTACTGTGTTCTATATGTTTCATGCTTGTGTTTCTTCTACCATGTTTTCCATATTATGTTCTCATGTGCTTTCTACTATGTTATGGTATTTCTTCTACTATGTCCTGCTATACTATACCTTTCTACTGTGTTCTTTGCTATTTTCCTTCTACTGATCCTTGTTTAGGTTTCTTCTGGAAAAAAGAAAAAAAACCTTAAGCATGTTTCTTCTACTCTTTCTACTGTGTTTGCATGTTTTCTCATGGGTTCCTGAAGGAAACCTCTGAGCCTGTTTCGACTACTTGCCTCCTCATCCCTGTATTTGATGCTAGGTGGAAACCCTAGAATTTGGGGATTCCGCCGAGGTTTGATTATGTGAACTAGGGTTTTGTTTAGAACCCTTAACTCCTTCAGACTGACTTTGAGTCTCTGAA